ATATCTATTATCTATCGCTTCCTCTGTGTATTTATTTGTGTATCTTTATATTTATCTATCTATAGACATATTTCTCGCTCTATCTGCCCGTCTATCTAATCACCCGCATATTTATAAGCAATTTTAAACGTTTCATTTATTAAAATAATCTCTAAAATGTAATTTACTTTTCATATAATTCCATTTTATGTCGATAGCTTTTGATTGATAACTTCATTCAGCGTAACTTAAGAACTGTAACACATACATACTATACACATGAGCATATATACAATATATAGTATACTTAGAGATCAGTTGCCACCTTATACACAATGGAAAACTAATATACCTTGTATTAATTAGCCTAGTACAGCTTTCTTCAAAGTAAACGCATTCATTGAAAAAAAAACGCATTCTACACTCACATGTGTATATTCATGCAAATCACGCCAAGGTCAAATGGAAGTCACATGTCACATGGATTATAATTTGATGAATGATATTTACAAAATTAGTTCACAAATTACAGATTTTCTTTCCACTTACGCAAAGCTGATCATAAATTTGTTCGCGTCTCTTATTATTTATTATCCGCTAAAAACTTGACAGCCACAATTAAAAGTCTATGAAATATAGCAATGTTAACACGTCTTTAATGTGCCGAAGACAAGGCAACGGCAGGTTCCGATTACATGAACTACTTTCGGATTGATTAACAATCTTTCGTAGGGGTATTCTCGCATAATTATTGTTTCAATTCCGTGTTCCATGTGGCAAAAGTTTGAATTTCCTTAGAGAACAAATTGTAAATAGTTTTGAATATCCTTACATGTCGCGTATATATAATTATTTATTTCTAGATACCCTGTAAATTTGTAGCGAATGCTCATTTATCAGTTACCATTTATCAGGCATCAAACACGTCGAAAATCCCAATCGATATATTTTCACTGAAGCTAACTTTTTGAGAAAATGCGCTTTTCTCAAATGCCTGGGCATGCACAACTGATAGATACCCTATGTACTACATAGAATCCCCTGTTTATTATTACTATTTGAGAATTGATATGATGTTTAAAATTTAACGAACTAATTATGTTCGCGAAATAGCTAAATACTGGCTGTCAAATAGTTTACTGGCGCTGAGAGGTATGTACGAATGACAGATACCCTGTAGAGTATTAAGAATCATTAGCCAGTTAATATTAAAAAAAAAATCTTTTGCAAGCGATTGGGCTCCTAAGAATTTTGTGCTCTTTGTGGAGTATGCACAAGGCATATATACCCCGTAAAATTTTAAAAATTCCTAATAAAATGATTACGCATGGGAATTTCATATCTTATTAGCTTCAGCTGATCAAAGTTTATGAACAACATCTAGATACCCTGGAATTATATCGAAACTAATGCCGGCATAGCCCAACTCCCACTTGGCTAATATGCCAACATTCTTCTGGAGGTACCTTTCTATAGAGATATGCTGTAATCCCTAAACTCTACCCTGGAATCCTTCAACAATTTCTGATACTGTAAATGTTGTATACTCTATATCTAATACTAATCTAATGCAGTTCTGCAAGTGTAGTCTGTAGCACTTAAGACTATGCACGACTAAAGCATACCCTGTAGAGCTGCAGCTTTTTAAGGAATTAGTTTGATAAGATGAAGTAAATAATATAGATAAGCTGAAGACTGCGTGAATAGATAGATGTAAACCCAACACAGATACCCCCTATTCTTCGAAATCGATTTGATATCACAAATGTATAGTAGTATATTATATAGTATATTACATAGGGAAAATCCGTTATGTATGTGGAGTTATGTTATCAAATCGTTTTGTTGGAGCTCCTGTTTTCTGTCTGCTTTGCTTTCGATTTTCATTTCGATCTCTATTGCTATTTCTCTTTTGTTTCGGTTTCTTTTTAGTGACGACATCGCAGTTGCTGCTGTGAGTCTTGACAGGATTAAAGGCCGCGCCGCGGACAGGTGCGACGCGTCGCTCATCCACCGGCGTACGTCGATTGTGAGCGTAAATCAGATAGGAAGGCGGACACTGAGATGGAGGCCAGTCGGGCGGGGCAGGGCAGGGTAGGGCTGTGCGATATGTTGCCCACGCCCACCGCTGGCAAAGCGCCCACGAAGCCAAGCAACGAGCGGCCCAATCTCAACAATGGCTACCTGCAGGCGAACGCGCTCGAGGATCTCAGCTCGACGGCGGTTTCGCCGCTGCTCGGCCAACAGCTGCCACAACAGATGCCGCAACTGCTGCCAGCACAGCAGCAACACCACCAGCAGCAGCAGCAGCAGCAGCAACAGTTGCCGGCACCACAGCAGCAACTTAAGCTACCGACGGTGGTTTTCCTTAGTCCCGATGGCAGTGGCGCCGTGGGCAGCGCCTTGCAGCGCAATGCGCCGGCTACAGCTGCGGGAGCAGGTCCTGGTTCCGGCTCCGGCTCCGGCATTGGCTCAGCTCCAGCTGTTTCAGCTCCATCCGTTGCCAGCGATTGGCTGCTGCTGAAGGAGGCGCAGCATCGGCGCCGTCTACTGATCCTGGCCATCGCCTTCACCGTGCTGGGCGCGGCCATCGGCGCTCTGGCCATCTACTTTGCCAGCGTCCATCAGCGATGCCAGCTCTATCCGCGCAGCGGGCCACAGGATGCAGGTGAGCCAAAGCGAAATGAACAATGCGCTCCGACCCAAATTGGGTCACCAGGCAATCAACGGCGCATCCGTTGTCGTTGTCACTTGTCGGTGTGGGCATCACAATGTCAATAAGGCGACAAAGGGAGAGCGAAAGAGTGAGAGTGACAGGGAGAGGGAGTGTGAATGTGAATGGTAAAGCTATATATCGAAGCGAGAATACTCTATCTCAGATCCTTGCCAGAGCCTCGAAGAGAAGTGAAGATAAATGGATATATTATAGAGTTGATATAGGTCGAATGATGTCATATGGAATATATGACAGAGGAGGTATATGATATGGTATATATACAATTTATATAGGGGATATATGAGTAAGAGTTGCAATAGTGATAGTGATAGGCGCATAGAACGTATGATAGATATACATATATAGTCGGTATTTAATTGGTATATAATATATACATACATACATAGGTATAATAGATACAATGAAGACTTCACTACTCATCATAAGGAAGTCAAATGATGTAGTATTGTAGATATGCAGGGGCATCTTTGATAAATTGATGATATTGAGAAACAAATATTCCAGAAAGTATATAGCATATGGAAAGTAGATAAAGGCAAAGGTATATAAAGTATTTGATATAATAGATAGGTAAATATAGAGTTTACAAAATAAGACGTCTAATGAAGAATGCGTAAAGAAGTTAATATCAGAAAGTAGAACACAGAATATATGTGGGATGTACATATGTATATAAAGAATATCACTCCAAATATTTTAGCATTGTTAATTTGAACGTTGTTTACTTAGAGTTGGTATAGAGCTTAAGAGATTGGAGACTAAGGCTTACACATGGGAAACATACATATATGAAGAGCATATGATATGGAAGATATATATATAGATATAGATATAGTGTAATCATATATATACATATATAATGGATTATATAAATTAAATATGATAGGGTATATTATATATAAATGATAGATTTCTATAGATTCAATAACCTATATATCTAGTTATATATAAATACTTAGCCAATTACCTTTATTTACTTTTACGTCTATAGTTCTTATAAGATAGATATATGAGATAGTACAGCTGTATAATATATTCTATTTATTGATTATAACAAAGTACAGAGAGTATAAAATATTACAGCTGTACTATATAATATGTTATGGTGTATGATGAAGAACAACTAGACTAACATATGATGATGATGTACATAAAGAAAGACTAAGGTCTAATTGAAATCTGATATTGCTGGAGCTGTACAAAAGAGTTCTGGAAACATAGTTGAGGGAGACAGAACTGCTACACATTGTCTATAGTCTTTCTCAGGATGTTCAATAATTCTATATAGTGTCACTAATATATATGTATATTTATATATCATATACTGAGTGCCCAGTTGCATGAGAAATGGGAAATGCCCTTTGCAGGGCGCTGAAAAAGTTAATTTCCTTTCAACAGGACGCAGCAACAGGCAGCAGGCAAAAGGCAGCAACAGGCTGCCACTTGGAGTTTGGGGCTTTGGCTGTGGTTACAAATGCCAGCAGCAGCAGCAGCAGCAATAGCAGGAGTAGCAGGAGTAGCAATTGCCACCCAGGCAGCCAAAGCAAGGCGCTATAAGAGCTAACGTAACCCAACCCAATCCATCGCCCAGTTTGCTGTAGGCGCCTTTCATTTCCGCGCGCGTTTCGAAATTCAATTACAAAATATGTCAAACAACAGGCAACAACCAGCAGCAGCAGCAACAACAACAACAACAGCATTGACACCAACTTGGCTTGGCTTGGCTTTTGTGGCTAAAGCGTTTTCYGTTTAACAAAAAGCAAAAGTAAAGAATTACATACGATCCGCATTGCTTAGCACTGCTTGAAGCTCCCAGTGTCCTATAGGCGACCTGTCGACCCCGCCCACTTACAACTTTGCGCCCCCATCCGCCTTGCGGCTTTATCTAGAACATTAAGCAACACTCGCTCAATGTATTTTCATTTTGGACAGAAAACCAATCAATTCGCCTATGAATTTGTTGTAATCGATTTCTGGCTCTATATGAGTGTGTGTGTGTGTGTGTGTGTCCTGCTTGTGCGCTTTAATTGAATGACATGCCCACACACACACACACACACTTATGTGTTGTAAAACGTGCGTTTTAGCGCCAAAATAACAAAAATATTCATTCATCTTTTTCGAGATATATAATTTTTTTTTTTTTTACTTTGACCAGCATCAAAGCCCAATACACACACACACACACATATATACGCACACACCCATACCCACTTATTATGCTCTTTTTCGATAAAAATAAACAACAACTTCTATAAATACTTGATGCCAGTTAGGCCAAGCGCCGAGCTCTGCCCCTTCACGGGCAGCCCAAAGCTCCGCTCTGGTTGTTATTGCTGGAAGTAATTGATTATTATGGGACTTTATAGTCTATATATATGTATATATGTATAGAAAGTGTATCAAAAATGAAAAGAGAGCAGTTAGACAGTTTAATATAGTATTTATGAATGTTAGCTAAGTAAAGATAGGGCGACAGTCCTAGTCCTGCCTTGGCTAAGTCCTCTACTTAGTTCCGAGACGTTGATAGCTACCAATTAGCCTCAACCTAGTTGATGATAGGTCGGAAGCTCTCAAAGTCCGTGTGTAGCGTCAGCTGGAAGCCAAGACAAGCTAGAGTGAAAGGGGGAAAGGAAAGGGGGTTGCCTCGGAAGGAAGTCGAATATGAAAGGTGGTAGGGTATGACGGGTAGAGCGGAGCTAAGGCAAGAAGGAAGTCCTTTATAAAGCGAAACCGGATCAAACATGAATGAGTGATACAGCGAGGCAGGAATAGGAAGACCTATCTAAAGCTGCTTGGAAACTAAGTCTAGCTAAGGTAAGACGCTGAAAGGAACGATGAAGGAGGGATAACGCGAATCAGGGATAAGAGACTCCCTAAGGGCTGTGGGGATAGGCAAGAAGTAGAAAGGAACCTATCAAGACGTTACGACAAATGATGAAAAGATGATGGGAGGTAAAGGCGAGGTAGGGCTAAGCAACTTCATACTAACCAAACCAAAAGCAAAGACTTGATATGAGGCAGCACTACCAGCACCAGTAAGTGCTGTGAATAGGCAATATATCATACCAGGTATTAGCACTACCATCTCTGCTTGATTATAGAATGGAGAGTGCCTTGGAGTAAGGGAAAGGCAGAGAATCGCCGTTCAGTCATTCGGCTTTTTAATTTCGCCAATAATTAAATGGACTCGTGCAACATGTGGCGTGTCTCCAAACGCCAATCGATGAGTTATCGACCGCAATGTTGACACAATCGCAAAACGCTGTCATTCCCTTCATTCAAAATAAAGTGACAGCAAAGTTAAGGAAGGTGTGAGAAAAAGGAAGATAGAAAATAATATAGGTTAGGAAAATATGAGAGTTAACATAAGAAAGTCAATAAACTGAGTGCTCGGAAATTGTAAAAACCAACAATCCTTTTCATTTGTTGTTCAATCAATCAATCATTTCCATTCCTATTTGCCAACTTGTGGCATTTGCCCAGCAATCTGTCAGTCAGTCAATCAGTCAGTCCTTCATAACTCTAATTCCTTTTAGGAAACCCTAAAGACAATATTCGACTATTCTCCTCATTAGACTGTGCAGAATCTATAGAAACCGTCGATCAATCAATTAATCATTTTTTAAAACTGTTTAAATATTAATCAATTTTAATATTTAATCAGTCAATTTGTATGAGCCATTGTTGTCTTAGAGGGTATGTTCGAGTCGCTAGATAAAACTTAGCTTAAGGAATTATTATATTAAGCTGATTCTCCTTAATCTACGGGTCAATCAATCAATCAATTAGTCTATAATTTGGTGAACTAAAATTTTGTATAGGGTATTAACTAGTCGACATCTTGTATCTGTTCTTTAGTAATATTATGTCACGTAAATCATTGAGTTTGCATTCAATCATTTATATGGTATTTCAAATCCTATCAGTCAATTAATCAATCATTGTGTAGTCTATACATATCCAATTTTTTATAGGTTATCAAGTAGTCAATACTCATCAATTAGTAAATATGTATAATACTTTAAGCGCTTTATATCATAGCAATCAATTTGTTTTCCAAGCTGCACACTTTTGCAGGGTATTTACTAGTCGATGACTAAGAGTTTTCTTAATAAATCATATATCTTATTGTGGTTTGAGCGTCTTTCGCCTCGACAATCATTCAGTTCGTCAAGCAATAAATTTGTTTATCCCATTTTGTACTTTTCCAGGGTATTTACTAGTCGTTCCACTTGCAACTGGGCTTCACTCATTGCTTCAATTTGCCAGTGCAAAATCCTTTTAAATGTAAAATTCAAATTTAATTTACTTGAGTGGTTTTTAAATCGACGCGAGTGTGGGTGTGTGAGTGTGTTGTGTGTGTTGTGTGTGTGTTGTGTGTATGAGTGTGTGTGTGTGTGTCAAGTCACAGTAAACTCAGTTTAAATGTCCTCTAATTACAGGCGATGGCAGCCTTAACCTGGATGGCAGTCACAACAACATCTGCATGACACAGGAATGCGTGCGAACAGGTGAGTGAAGAGGTGGCAGGTGGCAGGTGCCAGGGGGAGTGGAGTACCTCGGTTGAACCCGGTTGATGTTCACTGTCGGAATGCATGCGCAAATGCTTCCGTTGAATGCGCCTCTCAATTATTAATTAGCAATTATTGTGGCTAAGTGCGGATAATATAGGATGTGTGGAGCAGCAGGGGGCTGCAGTGGGGCTGGCAAGTGGAGTGCTTCAAGTGGGCTTCAAGTGGCTCGAGCCGTTCGAGTGGTTGCATTCGCCAACTGACAAGTTGTCAAAGACAGCAACGTTTAACGACCTTTTTATGGGCCATTGCTGGGAATGTGACATTTGGTGCTCGGTGGCATGCCGCATGCCGCATGCCACATCGCATGCCACATCGCATGCATGCATAACAAATGCATAATCGTCTTAGAATAGTTAATGTAGACCCCAAAACACATTTGCCTCGTCTTCCTTGGGGCTAGCTGCGTCTTGCCGCATATGCCACAGCTCATTTGCCACCAAATGTGGCAACAATAATCCTTCTCTCTCCCTCTCTCCCTCTCGCCCTCTCTCTATCTCACCTCATCTCTTTCATTAATTATATGCGTTTGTTTTTATGGCCAATACGCAACAGGCGTAACCACAAAAATTTTGATGTGAACTAAAAGCTGAAGCTGCCTGATAAAACTAGACGAGAGACAGTGAGATAGATGAGGGAGAGAGTGGGGAGGGGGGAGGGGGGGATGGCAGAAGCTGGGAGAATTAGCTTTAGTTGTGCCATATTCTAGTTTCATACCAGAAATTTCCTGCGTCTTAAACGTGTTAGCCAACAATTGTGAGTCATGCACGCATCTGTGTTTAAGCCATATACTCGCCCGGCAAGTGCCAAAACGAGGTATATTTCTTGAGATAAGCCTTAGCTTGTATACCTATAGCTTATACCAATCTCAACACAATAAGATCCCATAGGACTAGGACTAGGACTAGGACTAGGACAGTTATCAAAATCAAATTCGATTAGATCTTTAAAGCTCTAAACTCGAGCCCAGTCAATTTGAATAAGACTCAAGGACCCCATTGCTCCGATCATCCCCCCCTGGGACTGGGTGCTAGTACCAGATATATAGATGTCAATCTCAAGCGGTATTTATCATATAAATTAAAAATACTTATTCTTATTATTCTTGTTTTTTTGGGACTGATTACAAATTTATTGTGGGAAAAAAGTTAAGAAAAATTAAAATCGAAATATCGATATTTTGAAAGTTGTATATGAAATATCATAAAGATATTTCTTCAAAGCTTAAAATATCATCGATATGATATTTTAAACATATTCGACAACCCTAGTATACAATATCTCATGTGCTCATATAATGCCAGAGAATTACGCTCATGAACATAGTGAGACTTTGTCGCTGTATTTCCATAACTCAACCATACAAAAGTGCCGTAATACGATCGCTCACTAATGTATTGGCTGGCTTGCAGCGTAAGTGCTAGACGTCCGTCCAAGTGCCAGCTTAAAGACCAATTAGCACTCAAATGTACATACATATATATACCTTCATACATATGCGTTCAGCATGCACATACATATAAACATTCCAGAACAGAACTCAAAACGATCTGCACGTGTCTGCTATCATCCTATCATATATATAGAGAAACCCCTTCTGTGCCCCTACCAATAAAATACCAAGACTAAAACACCAAGCAGAGTACCTCGCCTGAAACATGAATGGCATTTATTTCCTCGACATTCCTTGAACACATGTAATTTGAAAACTAGAAATTTAAATTCAAACAGCACTCAATGCATAGCTTGCAGGGTATCTGGTTAGTTGGGCATTCGATTGAAATGCAACACTTTCAATTAGCTGAAAGCAAATTCTTAATAATTATCGCCAAGCAAACAAACTTTTCAATATGTTTCATTGAGCAATGCTGGCGCTGTCTGATTTATGGTCTATCTCGTCCATTCAGACGCTTTCAAACAAACCCTAGAGAGCGGCCAGCCAACCCCCGCTCCCCCTCCCCATCACTATTAACCCAGCTAAGCGCAAGGACTCTCGAGTTCCTATGAAAGGCGGAAAACAAAGTTTGCAGCTCAAAGTCAGACAACGGCCAAAGTTATGGGCGATAATTGTTGTCACACACAAATGAGAGTGCACAACAATGTGTGAATCGACTCGAATGATACCCTGTAAAGTGTAATTGATGAGTTTGCAGACATTTTGCCATATGAATCTAAACTCGAATTGAGCAGGCTACAAAGGACGCGGTCTCTATGTCTCTCTCACTCTCTCTTCCTCGCTCGCTATCTCTCACTCTCTCTCTCTCTTGAGATAGTTAACTCTGATTACCTCTACCTCTGTCCCTTCCTCTCTCTCTTGAGATAGTTAAGTCTACCTTTGTTCCTTTCTCTTTCTCTCTCTATTGAGATAGTTAAGTCTACCTCTGTCCCTTCCTCTCTCTCTCTCTCTCTCTCTCTCTCTCTCTCTCTCTTCCTCTTATTCTCTTCCTTTGTCAGCAAACTCTTTCGCTAACTCTGCCTATCTCTACCTCTGTCCCTTCCTCTCTATCTCTCTCTCTCTCTCTCTCTCTCTCTCTCTCTCTCTCTCTCTCTCTGCCTCTTATTCTCTTCCTTTGTCATCTAACACTTTCACTAACTCTTCCTATCTCTACCTCTGTCCCTTCCTCCTCTCTCCCTCTAAACATCTAATTATTTCGATAAATCTCAAAGATACTCTAAAACGAGGCACACCCCTTTTACTAGTGTTACAGGGTATTAATGGTTGCAGATTTGGGCTTCGATAAAAAGTTGTGCATTCAATTAGCTCCACTCGACGCTTTTCTATGATCGAAGCGAACATGAATTATGGCCTGGAATTTCAATAACACGCACAGCTGAACTATTTCCCAGACTTTTGGCTCGATAGGCGCTTGATTTATGATTGCTATTGTTGTTGTTTGTTTGATTGGAATACTCTCTGCAGCTGCTTCACTGCTGTCCGCCATGGACCTAACGGCAGATCCGTGCGAAGATTTCTTTCAATTCGCATGCGGCACATGGAACAAGATGCATCCCATACCAGAGGATCGCAGCTCGATCAGCACCTTTGAGGTGAGTTCTGATCTGCATTGCAAGCTGAAACTGAACTCTAATTGAAATGGAACAACACATATGTAGGTGCTCTCCGACCAGCAGCAGCTGGTCTTGCGTGGCGTCCTGGAGGAACCAGTCGATGAGCACGACAACGCGGCCACGGTCAAGGCGAAGGCGTTCTTCAAGAGCTGCATGGATCTGCGTGAGTAGATATATGTAGTACATATGTGCATGTATATGCCTTATAACTGAAGCAATCCTTAAACATTTTCAAATCAAATTTTACTGATTGATTGAGTGTGTTCTTCAAAAACCGATAAATATCGATAGTCAAGCTACATTTGAAGATGCATGAATTATATGTGCACGTAATTTAAAATTATCGATAACTTGCAAACTCACTTTATCGATAAATTTTATATATTATCGATAACATCGAGATTTATTTGGCATTGTTACTTATCAAGTATATTGCTAATCAGAATATATCACAATAAAAATATACGCTCATTATCAATTCACCACTTTAACAATCTTAAAAATGATCGATAACTCGCAATGGAGCTCATTATCGATAATTATGTATGACTATCTCAAGTAATTAGCGCATATATTGTGGAACATAAATTTGTCAATATATAAATGATTTATATATCTCCACTTACCAAAAATGATCGAAATCGATAAATAGTAATTATACCATAAAGCTATCAACACAAATATTTGGATATATTTATGTGGAAAAATTAAACTATTTATGATCTTAAAGCTTTTTTAAAATAACCGATATCGATAACTGCCCAACTCCTTCGTGATCGATAACTTATTCGTCGTGATTTGGCCTACTAGAGGCCATTCAAGGTGAATTCATGAGCCATCAGCTCAAATAGAGGATTTCATAATATCAAACGGACATTCCATTGTTATCGAACATTAACTTAGCTGTTATCGATAATGAATTTAGCTTAAAATGTGAATAAAGGTTATACGAGTGATACCGTAGATCATAGATGACAGTTCGAGTGACAATTAGTGTGTGTAGAATGCATTTTCCAGGGTATCTAATCGTTATATCCACTTGTGCTTCCAGCTCAGATACGCAAGGTTGGCGTCGGTCGCCTCAAGAGGGTGTTGCGCTCCCTGGGCGGCTGGCCGGTGATCGAGCGCAACTGGCAGCCGCCGGCGAACTTGAGCGTGGAGCAGGTGATGGGCCAGCTGCGCTTCAACTATAGCGAATCGGTGATGATCGAGCTGTATGTGGGAGCTGACGATAAGAACAGCTCCGTGAACATTATCCAGATGGATCAGCTGCAGTACGCGCTGCCCTCGCGCGACTACTACCTGAAGCCGAACAGCGAGAACGATCGTCAGGCTTACCACAAGTACATGACCCAGATCTCATTGCTGCTGGGCGCCGATCCGGCCACGGCGGCCGACGAGCTGCGGGAAGTGATTCAGTTCGAGACGGAGCTGGTGAACGTGTCGCTGGCGGAGGCGGATCGGCACGACACGAGCGCCGTTTATAAGAAGCTGACGCTGCCGGAACTGCAGAAGCGGGTGCCGGAGCTCAACTGGACGGAGTATTTGCAGACGGCCGTCGGGCCGGGCATTCAGCTGGACGCGAATGAGCCGCTGGTGACCTACGGCCTGGTCTACCTGACCGAAATGGGTCGGATATTGCGCGAGACGGACCTGCGGGTGGTCCACAACTATATGCTCTGGCGCCTGGTCATGTCCCTGATGACGCACATGATCGACGAGTATCAGCGCGAGCGCGTGGAGTTCCGCAAGATCCTGCTGGGCATACAGTCGGAGCGGACACGCTGGTCGCAGTGCGTCGAGTGGACCAACAAGAAGCTGGGCGTGGCCGTTGGCGCTCTGTTCATACGGGACAATTTCAATCAGGACAGCAAGGAGGTGGCCCTCGAGATGATACACAATATCCGGGCCGCATTCAATGAGCTGCTCGCCGAGAACCACTGGATGGACGACGAGACGCGCGCCGTGGCCAAGGAGAAGGCGGACTCGATGAACGAACGCATCGGCTACCCGGAGGTGCTCACCAATGTCACGGAGCTGGAGCAGGAGTATGTGAACGTAGGTATTTGCATCAACTTCAGCTGTGCTCTTCACCCATCTCTCTCATTGATCGTTGACCCTAGCTGACGATCGTTCCGGACAATTTTCTGGACAACGTGTTCAGCATTCTGCAGTGGGAGTCGGAGAAGCTGCTCAATTTGCTGCGCCAGCCGGTGGACAAGGAGAAATGGACCACAGAGCCCGCCGTGGTCAATGCCTTCTACAATCCCAACAAGAATGATATAGGTGCGACTGAGGCTCGAACTCAAATAGATTATCAACTCAAATGATCTCAAATGATCTCAAATGATGAATGACCTCTGTCTCCTTTCAGTATTTCCGGCTGGCATTTTGCAGCCGCTGTTCTATAGTCAGCACTTTCCAAAGTCCTTGAACTATGGCGGCATCGGCGTGGTGATCGGCCACGAGATCACCCACGGCTTCGATGACAAGGGACGGCAGTTCGACAAGGAGGGCAACATGATGCAGTGGTGGAACAATGCCACAATTGAGGCATTCCGGGAGCGCACCCAATGCGTCATCGATCAGTATTCGCGCTACAAGATCAACGAGGTGGACATGTTCATGGACGGCCGCATGACCCAGGGCGAGAATATCGCCGACAATGGCGGCCTCAAGCAGTCATTTCGAGTGAGCCGCACGACCAACTCGAATTGAACTCGATTTATATTCGATTTATTAATTTTGCTTTGCAGGCCTACAAGAAGTGGGAGAGGCTGAATGGACGCGAGCAGCAGCTGCCGGCGCTCAATATGACGCACGATCAGCTCTTTTTTCTCAACTATGCACAGATCTGGTGCGGCAGCATGCGGCCGGAGGATGCGTTAACCAAGATCCGATCCTCGGTGCATTCGCCCGGCTTTGTGCGCGTCCTTGGGCCGCTTTCGAATTCACGTGACTTTGCGAATGCCTACAACTGTGCCGTGGGCACCACCATGAATCCGGCGAAGAAGTGCAGCGTCTGGTAGTCATGAGAACACAATCCCGAGGACACGATCATCAGCATGTTCCTGGCGACGACGGATCGCGAGCGAATCACATCATGCTCATCATCACAAACAACGTTTGGTCAGCTACTGAGAACAGAATCTTAATCGTGATGGGGTCTTGGCCATAACTGAAGGCCTTAGATCAAGGTCATAATCGTGCTCTGAGTAGTGGGCATATTTAAGATCTCGCTAGAAGTCTTGATCAAAAAAATAATGAACATGATTTGGCTTATTCCCACCATCGAAATCTGAAGATCGAAAGATCGAAGTCGTGCTCATAGTTACGATCGTTTCCATCAGGAATATGTGAATATGATCACGATCATGATCCTGTTCCAAGTTGCGATCACAACGCTTTCATCATTACTAAGTATTCTTGAATGAGCCACTTGATCGGAACGATCATGACCAGATTTTGGTTCTTAAACATCATGCGATCATGATATCAGGCCAATGATCCATTACTATTGCAAAGATACGAGCACAAGATTACGAGCCCGATCCTCACCAAAGCCTGAATCATTGTCACTCATCAACAGCGCTCAAGGTCAAAGTCAGGAACATGCCCATGATAGTGCACCCGATTATGCTCATGTTTTGTATAAGCTTATTTTTATATACCTATATAGAAAAGCACTAACATATATATATATATATATATGTATATCTATATGTA